ACGGCCCTTTGAAATGATTAGCATGCTAATTTCACCAAAAGCAGGTTATATAAAGCTGTTTCCATATGTAAAACCTTTTCACCAAAATTGGCAGAATATCTTTAGCTTCGCTCATGCGTTACGTGATGACTCATACATACATTCCTCTGACTTCTGAATGTTCCTGTCATTAGGATGCATTATCTCTGCTTGCTACCTTCCGCTAACTGCGTAGCCATGAAAACTTAACATCTGAGAGGAAGTCGGACGAGTGTGGATTAAGTGTGTGAGTCATCCATAGGAATGTAGTTCCTGGCTGTAGGATCCTGACAGATGCATTCAAACACCACGGGGTCTGATGCTTCTCCTAAATGGAGTGTGTCATGGGCTCTTCGCTGCACTGTTAACCAAGTGTCATCTCGCACAAAAAAGATAGTTACTTAGTGCTCTGACACATTTAGTTTATGGACCACTACAGGCCCAAGGCATTTCTGAAATGAATACTGTTCATAATCCAGTTACTCTGCTACAGTAGCATTGCCACCTGCTAACAAAATCCATATATATATATATATATATATATAAAAACCCAGAGGGCTTGAGGATTTTCACAATAGTTGAAATTAAGTCAGATGATGTTCTCTTTTTAAGGGCTCATATCACACTTTTTTTATCACTTAAGTTTTCCTCCCTGAGGTCCAATTATAATTTTAAATTGAGGTTTTTATATCAGAAACATTCCTAATTTCAGCCCTGTCTCATGAAGAAGAAAAAAAAAAAAAATTCCGCCAGTAGTGACATTTCTGCAAAATGATTTTACGTTCTTATTTTTCAAGGTGAAATGTCCAGCGATTGGCACTAAAAATGAGTTTGTTTTATTAATTTTTTTTTCTCTGAAACAGATGAAAGTGATTCTGGCAACATAATAAAATGTTCAGTGAGTGAACATCGGGTTGACTACTATTGGTTACATTATACATAACTGATAGTATAAAGAAAAGCAAAGATGAGATGAAAAAAAAAGCACTTGCTGAAGCAACCATGCCATTTTAGCTTGCTCCCACAAGGCTATGAGCTCTTTTGTTGAGTATCAACATTTTTTGGTGTACAGATGGTACTCAACCAGAATGAGCTTTTTACTGCCGCGGGTACCGCCGCTGCAGTGTCTGTAAAACGTATTTGCAGCCTTTAACTACTGAGTGCCGCTTTAACCACAGACTTTGACAAGTTCAATGCGCATTTTTGCAAGTAGCAGTCAGCTTTGCCTTGCCAGTGGGCTAGATTTGAGGTTGCACTCGCTGATAATTTTAGGAAAAATACTGTAGTTTACTGTAGTATTTTAGATTTTTACACTTTTAACAGGTGTACAGTTTTATTTATATCATATGCGTCGTATATTACCTTAAACTAAAGAAAAGCTGGTTTATGTAGGTCTATTTTAACTAAAAATGCATTAATCAAACTTGCTGTGCTTATTGATTAGACTTGAAAAAAAAGAAAAGATGCACTGAATACTTGTGTTCCTGAAAGAATAAGAAGAATAAAAAAACTTCAATAACCAAGTAAATCATTGGTTGATTTTTCAGCACTATTTATTGCTATACGAATATATTTTTTATGTGACAACTCTATGGAAACAGGAATGGAAGTTGAGTAACTCTGTGAACTCAACTTCTCTGTGAAAAAGATGAAAAAAAACCATGAATTTAGTGCCAAGTTCAAATGATTAGAACATTCCCAGCATGTAAGGGTGGAGAGGGGAAAAAAATTATGTACTGTTCAAAACCATGCAACTTCAGAATGAACTGACTTATTCATGCTGAAAATGGCTTTGTTATATATATATATATATATATATATATATATATATATATATAAAAACCCAGAGGGCTTGAGGATTTTCACAATAGTTGAAATTAAGTCAGATGATGTTCTCTTTTTAAGGGCTCATATCACACTTTTTTTATCACTTAAGTTTTCCTCCCTGAGGTCCAATTATAATTTTAAATTGAGGTTTTTATATCAGAAACATTCCTAATTTCAGCCCTGTCTCATGAAGAAGAAAAAAAAAAAAAATTCCGCCAGTAGTGACATTTCTGCAAAATGATTTTACGTTCTTATTTTTCAAGGTGAAATGTCCAGCGATTGGCACTAAAAATGAGTTTGTTTTATTAATTTTTTTTTCTCTGAAACAGATGAAAGTGATTCTGGCAACATAATAAAATGTTCAGTGAGTGAACATCGGGTTGACTACTATTGGTTACATTATACATAACTGATAGTATAAAGAAAAGCAAAGATGAGATGAAAAAAAAAGCACTTGCTGAAGCAACCATGCCATTTTAGCTTGCTCCCACAAGGCTATGAGCTCTTTTGTTGAGTATCAACATTTTTTGGTGTACAGATGGTACTCAACCAGAATGAGCTTTTTACTGCCGCGGGTACCGCCGCTGCAGTGTCTGTAAAACGTATTTGCAGCCTTTAACTACTGAGTGCCGCTTTAACCACAGACTTTGACAAGTTCAATGCGCATTTTTGCAAGTAGCAGTCAGCTTTGCCTTGCCAGTGGGCTAGATTTGAGGTTGCACTCGCTGATAATTTTAGGAAAAATACTGTAGTTTACTGTAGTATTTTAGATTTTTACACTTTTAACAGGTGTACAGTTTTATTTATATCATATGCGTCGTATATTACCTTAAACTAAAGAAAAGCTGGTTTATGTAGGTCTATTTTAACTAAAAATGCATTAATCAAACTTGCTGTGCTTATTGATTAGACTTGAAAAAAAAGAAAAGATGCACTGAATACTTGTGTTCCTGAAAGAATAAGAAGAATAAAAAAACTTCAATAACCAAGTAAATCATTGGTTGATTTTTCAGCACTATTTATTGCTATACGAATATATTTTTTATGTGACAACTGGAATGGAAGTTGAGTAACTCTGTGAACTCAACTTCTCTGTGAAAAAGATGAAAAAAAAACATGAATTTAGTGCCAAGTTCAAATGATTAGAACATTCCCAGCATGTAAGGGTGGAGAGGGGAAAAAAATTATGTACTGTTCAAAACCATGCAACTTCAGAATGAACTGACTTATTCATGCTGAAAACTACATTATCATGGTCACTAGGGTTCATTACGGCCTATATAGATATCTAAAGTGGAAAAAATGCAATAAAGCCTTGCAAGTTGTAAGACTTTCCTTTGAAAACCAAAGAGCAAAGTTCATGGCAGCATCTCAAGCTTTATTGGCTCCTGAAGCTGATGTGATTGAAACTACTGCTCTTTATTTTCGCGTGAAGTTCCTAGCGCCCTTGATGTTTCTGAAGGAGTGACGAGGCAGATGAGAAGAAGAGTGTAATGTCAACTCATATAAAGTGACCTTGGTGAATTTCTGCACAGTAACAAGACAGCACATACCTCAGTGTCTGGGAGTCATAGGACAAGGCTGAGCAATGAAACGGTCACAGACCTTTGTCTTTAGACGCCTCTCACTGCATCAGAACAAATAAAGCCAAGCAACCCACGCAGAGCTGAGCCGTCTCTAAACAATCTCCCCTTCAGACTGAATGAAAGCTAAAGCAAATGCTGTCTCTTTTCAAAAGATGCTGATTTCATAGATTCATTACATGATTGGCTTTCTGTGTGGGGGCTGCTTTTCTGTGCTTGATTGAAAAACCATTCACCTGCCACAATGGACAACATCTCTTCATTATTTCTCAGTGCCGCACCGGCAACCTTGGGAATTGTATGTTGAGTGAAAAACAGCCTTCTAAGCAACAGACTTCTGGTAAAGTCTGGATGCGACATTAAATTAAGAACGTTGTGTGATAAGTTGCACTTGAAGCCTAATTTAATAAGTGCACAAAGTTTGTTCCCCACTTCCCTAAGTTTTATCAACACTACACACAATGTCTTTTCTTCTAATCTGTAGCCACTATACGATGAAGAGGAAAAACAATGTAAACAGAGTATTTCATGCAGGCATGACAGAGGTGTGAGTTCTTTCATGACAGCTCGCACAGGACAGTTAGCACACGTATCTCCAAAAGGTACGTGCATATTATTTTCATTTAATACTAAAAGTAAGATGTATTGCCTGTAAAATATGAAATTTTGATAAGGAATCCGTTTATATTGAAGTATTGCAGCACTGCATAATACATCACATTATGAACGACTATCAATGCTTGAATCAAATTCACTCAAAATACCAACAATTTCTGAACAGGGAAATCTACACCACAATACAGTAATCAGGATCACATGCACATTTCGTTTTTTGTTTACAGTGTGGTCACCTGCCACTAATTGCTTAAATATCAAATGACAAAAAATATAAAGAACTGATTTTGTCCATGATTTTTAGTTATGTTATTAACTAAACCAAAAAAAAAAAAAAAAATCATTTTTGTGAGCTGAAATAAAACAAAATAAAAGTAGTAAAATTACTAAAACTTAAAAATAAATGAAAAAAATTCAATTAAAAATAAACAGAAATATTTTTAGAAATTTCTCACTATTAGCTAAATATTAACAACTCCTAAGGTAGTTGCTAGGTATGGGGATTAAGGGATCTAAAATATGACCATGCAGAATAAAAGACATTAATATGTGTTTTATTAATACTAATAAACAGCCAATATGCTAGTAATAATGCATGCTTTATAAAATGCAAATAATGACAAAAATACTAAAATGTAAAGTAAAATTAAAATGAAAACTGAAAAAAGAGCTAATTTAATATATGAATAAACACAATAATAGTATATAAATAATACTAACAATGTGCTGAAGTTGGCAACCCTATCGATATTTCCAGCACTGCACACTAACCAGTTATGAAACAATCAGTTAGAGGCAGTGGCACATAAATGCAAATACACAAAAATCACAAAAAACACATCAGCCTTATAAAAAAAAAAGAAGAAGCAAAATGCTCCTGAGAAGCGTGTAAACACAGTAGCTCTTTAATTTATCACAGCGAGTCAATGTTTTGATTTCAGTTGCATTTCAGGTCAAAGTGAGAGGCGAGACTGAAGTGGGGTGGCCTGGTGAACTGATTAGCCCGAGCGCTCTGTTTCACAACCCTCCATCACAGGCAAATCAGTGTGGCTGAGCTCTCCGTCCAAAAACCTGATGGCCTAAACACCTCGGCTGATTCTGATTGGAGCGCTGCTTGCAGGGATGAGAGGGGACAGCAGGAGTGTCTGGTTACCGTAGCAATGGGCCCGATCTGGAGTGGCTTTCTCATATGAATTGTACCTTTGGGTACATCGCAGCAAGCAAAGTGAATAGAACAGGAACAGGAGGGAGAGAGAGTGGAGAGGTGATTACGAACAGCCCTTGTCTTTTAATTAAATGAAAAATTCCTGTTATTTACTTTATCAGCTAGTTTTCCTCAGTCATGCGTTCAGTTGCTGCTCTGAGGACCATCTGTGACCCTCCATCCACTACAATCACATGTCTTTTCTTTTACCTGCCAGGAGGAAAATAATTACTTGACCTAATTACTCTAACAACTGGGTCAGCCAATTATTTTTGACTGGTAATTTGTCACTGCATGTACTGTTAATACGTAACATCAAAACTTGCTATTATTTCATTATTTTTTTTCTTCACTGATTTCTTCAGTAATATGGATGAAAATCTCCATGCAAGTGTTAGAAAAAAAACACTGAAATTTTGTAAGTTTTCAAACCCATAATCAAAATTATTTTGTCCCAAACTTTCTCAGGTCGTTAAGCTTTGAAAGAAGCCATGTGTTACTTTTATTTAAGATGGGTTTTGAAAAAAATACCGGGGTATATATTTTTGCAATGCTGGTTTTTGAAGTTCAGAATCCATCATGGGGAGCTACATTTTCCCCCGGATTTGTGGAACAGATACCCTTAAGTCAGTAATTCCTGGGGAGCATTATCAAAAGCAGAGGAACAGGCGACAGGAATACAAAAAAGCTATTTACTTGAAGGTCAGCACAGTCAGCAGGACCAACATTCAACACAGACAGATTCCTCTACACTTATGGTGGAGACCAACATCATGAATTCAGACAAACAAACAACTCTTTCAAATACAAACTACTTTTTTTCTTACTGCAGAACATTTGAAAATTACCATTTAGTAATACAAAGTATATCAACATTATAATTTTGTTTACAGTAATGCGCATTGATGAATTGTTAAAGACCCCCTGTGGTGAAAATCAAGTTTTTAACATTGTTTACATGGTTTAATGTTGTTTATCTGGTGTGTTTAATATGCTTAAAGACAAACCACGTGCAAATTCATCAGTCAACACCATTGCTGAGCATTTTCTCCTTGAAACTGCAGTGTACCAAAGAATGTCTCTAAAAATGAAGTTTGAAACATCCCATGTTTCCTACTCTCACAAACATGTAATCAATCCTGATGTACAGTGTGGGGCTTTTCATATGGTTAGTGAAGCATTTCTACCTAAAGATGTTCATTTTTAGAAGGCAGCTTTCTGAGATGGCGAATAGGAACATGGTTTGTATAATATGAGTAACACAATATTGGCTGTCTGATAACATAGTCAGACTAAAAGCTAATGATATTACTGTTACGTGTCCAATGTTGTAGAGAGCAATACATAAACTGCATTGCCATTCTGAAACATCAACTTGTAGACGACCCTGTATAATTCTTTCTTCCTTATCTACGGAATCAGTTTCTGGTTCAAACATACAGTATATGGCTGAACTAATTCAATATTGCCAGTTTGCTACTGCGTAGCATTTACTACTTCAAGTAAAAGTGAGCTGGTGTGATTTAGATGAGGCGGAGACTGAATATAACTAGAGTTATATTCAAGCCATTTTAAGGCAAAACATTTAAATATGTCATTTTGATTATCAAAGTTGAGTTGTAAAGGATAAAAAGGTGACTGCAAGGGGACTTTATCAATACAATCAGGAAAAAGCATTTTTTTTTTGGCTTTTAGTATGAATATTTATAAATTCAATATCTCTATGATATCGGATTCATGTTACACAGTAGAAAATCTAATTGAAGCTCAAAACAACAATCTCACATCAAAGACACATCTATTCGGACACTAAGGCACTTTTCCTCTATCTATTCCCTAATTCCTTGTCATGGAGAAAGAACTGACAGAAGAGTTCATAAAACGGCTAATCTGATTGTTTCCTGAAGCTCAGAAGAAGTTTGGAAAGCTTTAATCTCCACAACAAGGTCTCAGGCAGGATTTACGGGCTCCTGGAAGCACCGCACCTGGGCCTGTGATGTTGTTTGATGCTTTGGTTCAACAGTCCAGGCAGGAACACTAAAGCTGCACACACTCAGGGATCACTGCAAACATACCTGGACATCTGAGGAAGATCTGATTGTAACAACATAGACATGACAGTTCTATCTACATCTAAACCTTTTGTAAGAAATTACTACTTTTATTCAGCAGAAAACTGATAAAAAAATTGTGTAAATACAGCTATAATGCTATTTCTACTAAATGCTGTTATTTTGAACTTTCTCTTCATCAAATAATCCTAAAATCCATTTTATCACAGTTTCCACAAAAACATTAGGTGCACAACAATTTTTTTTAACACCGATGAAAATAAGAAATGTAAAAAAAAAAGAAAGAAAGAAAAACAAAAACCCATCATATTAGAATGACTGAAGTAAAGGCGCCTGAAAATTCAACTTTGCATGACAGGAATAAATTACATTTTAAATATATTCAAATAGAAAACTATCATTCTAAATAATATTCCAAAATGTTTTTACTGTATTTTTGATAAAATAAATGAAGCCTTGGTGAGCCTATGTCTATGAGATGTCTTTTGAAAGAAAAAAATAAATTCTCACTGACCCCAAACCTTTGAACAGTAGATTATCTAAACCTCTCTAAAATAAATAAAAATAAATACATAAGAATTATAATTTTATTACTATTACTACTAATAATAATATGAATGGTAACACTTTACAATAAGGTTCCATTTGTTAACTATATATAAATAAAGAAACTAGAAGAGCGTATATCTTTGTCAGACACAGACACTCTGCACTTTTAGCACTTTGCACATTATTTGTGGCCTCTGGATAATAAAGTGTTTTTGGCAGATTTTTCATGTGCGGATCTTTTTTGTTTTTGATCCTTAACTATATATAATGCATTAACTAACAATGAGCAATGCATTTTTACTGCATTTATTAATCTTTGTTAACGTTAGTAAATAAAAACACAACTTTTCCTTGTTAGTCCGTGTTAGCTCAGGTCCTATATACAACTTTTCATTGAAATCATGTATTAGTAAATGTTGGAATCAACATTAACTAAGATTAATAAATGCTTTAGAAGTATTTTTCATTGTTATTTTATGTTAATTAATGTAGTTAATGATTGTTAACAAATGGAACCTTGTTGTAAAGTGTTACTACAATAATAATAATAATAATAATAATAAGATGATGATTATTTACACAATTTTGAGATTATTATGATTAACCTATTTGGCAGCTCCCTCTTATGTCAGTCCAAATCTACTGATAATATTGTGTTTGGATAATAAACATTACCTGTTTTCCACTGTTTTTGGAATTTTAACTAATAAATTGTTACATTATATTATAATACATTTAACTTAGCATCAGCAAATTTTTGCTATTGTATTGTGTAGTCGCTGCTATATGTGACCCTGGACCATAAGGGTCATAAGGGTCAATTTTTTCGAAATTGAGATTTATACATCATCTGAAAGTGGAATAAAAAAGCTTCCCATTGATGTATGGTTTGTTAGGTACAACTATTTGAAAATCTGTAATCTGAGGTTGCAAAAAAATCTAAATACTGAGAAAATCGCCTTTAAAGTTGTCCAAATGTAGTTCTTAGCAATGCATATTACTAATCAAAAATGAAGTTTTGATATATTTATAGTAGGAAATTTACAAAATATCTTCATGGAACACAATCTTTACTTAATGTCCTACTGATTTTTGGCATAAAAGAAAAATCAATCATTTTGACCCATACAATGTATTTTTGGCTATTGCTACAAATATACCCCATCGACTTAAGACTGGTTTTGTGGTCCAGGGTCACATATTATACTGTCATTATATTGGCTATTGGTCAACCTGCTCTTTAGCTATCATGTATCAGTATCAGCCATTGAAAAACCCTTACTACCCTTACTGGTCGATCACTAGACCCTGCTATTGGTCAACCTGCTCTTTAGCTATCATGTATCAGTATCAGCCATTGAAAAACCCTTACTGGTCGATCACTAGACCCGGCCTAATTTCCTGTCTTCTTTCTAAGAGTGGCCAGTGGCAAGATTAAAGCCATAAAAAATGTGAAGAAATATGATAAATTCCACTTCCTTTCGCATGCAGCCAACACAAACACATGTCCAGAGCACACTCAGTCTGGGAGCGCTGACTCAACTCCGCCTCCTAAAACTCAGGCCTGTGGCTTACAGCAGCAGCTGAACTTTGCTCACAACACCTCCTGCAGTGGTCACAGGTCACTATGACTCATCTGTGGTGGGTCACAGTAGGTTCTGTCTGTCCTGGAGGCCTGCCGCCAGTTATCACTTTTGATCAGTGAGGCACAGGTCCTCGGGTACATGCCTGCACATGGTCTACAAGTACTGCTGAGAGATCCTCTCATGGATTCCGTCCTGCTGGTGCCCCCACCAGTATGCAATTAACAAATGACTCATCAAACTGGGCCAGAAAAACAGCCTGTTTTACAAACACAGCAAAGATAAAGTTTGAACCACTCAATCTACAGTAAATGGACTTCATTTGAATCACAGCCCTGTGACCCTTGTTCATCATTTGCTAGACAATATGGTAATTGTACAATGGAGTATGGGGAGATTTATTCAGTTCTAGGAATATGATGTTTTGGCTAATTAAATGTAAAATGCAGTTAATGGAGCACATGGAGTTAATGGAGTTAAATGGAGCTCCGCTGGGAACGACCCAAACCGTTCAGAACTGCTCCTGTCTGTCGTGCTGCAGAGTGGTTTGTGATTGTAGCTCCGTGTAGCTCTGCTTTTCTGTTGATCTTACTATCACTCTCTGTTGTTTAAAGCGATAAAATATAACTCAATTCCCACCTTATTTCTGATATTATATATCAAACTAATCTGATCAACTTGATTGTTCGCTTTTATTCTAAAACCACAAGTGCAGCGCGTTAGCATTCGTTAGTCGGTTAGCTTGTCATTCGCGTTTCCATTTGCGTCTATTGCGGTTTTCCTTTTTTTCTCTCGCTCCGTTTTTTCACGAGTTCATCAAACAACAGTGGTAAGTCAGAATCATTCATC